AAGTGGTATATTATGATGATATTTCCTTTGTTGTAGGACATTTTTCCTGGAATTGGAATTTAAAAAAAATTTTTCATTTTGCTGATTTTCTGTACTCTCACCACACTCTCCAGTAGAATTATAAAACTCCTCTGAAGAGTCTCTTCCACGTGGTCAAACATGCTGTGATCTGTCAGTTTCACGCTTTTTCTGGAGGCCTCCCTCATTGGGCCCCCCTCCCTGTGCCCTGTCTGTGCTGGTCACTCTGTAGGCCTGCCACATAGCTGTGGCCTTGGGCTCTCCTTTGTCTCTCCCCCATTCATGGCTCTCTCTTCTTCTTTCATGGTTTATATCTTCATTTCGTTGGAGTCCATCTTCCAGTAGCTCGCTAAGAAAGGGTGCATGGGAGGACTTTTTTTTTAAGACTGCATATATGAAAATGCCCACGTTCTAATCTCACAATTCATTGACAACTTGCTTGGACATAGAATTCTAGGTTGGAAATAATTTTCCTCAGCATTTTGAAAGCATGCTCTTTTAGGTTTTACCAGTGCTGTTGAGAAGTCTAATGCCTTTTTTATTCCTAAATCTTTAAATATAACCTATTTTTCCTACTCCAAAGCCTTTAGAGTCTATTTTAGTGTTCTGAAATTTTTAATGATATGTCATGATGTGGGTGTTTTTCTATCTTTTGTTCCGGGTATCTGGTGCTTCCCTTCCATGTAAAAACATATTTTCAGTTTAGGGAAATGTTCTTATATTGTTTTTTCTACAATTTCATCCTATTTTCTCTTTTCTTTCTTTCAGAAATTCCTATTAGTTAGATGTTGGACTTCTGGATTGAACCTCTGGTTTTTTGTTCCTTTGTTTCTTTTTCTCCTATTTTCTGCTTCTACTTTTGGTACTACTTTCTTGGAGATTTCCTCAATTTTATCTGATAAAAATTCTATTTATTTATATTTTATTCTATTGGGTTTTTCAGTTTCCAAGCTCCTCTCCTGGGTGGCTGTCATGACTTTTCTCTCTGGGTACTAATTCTCGATGTTTTGAAGTTTTGTTTTGCTCCCTGCAATATCTAATTCTTCCAATCATTTTTACTACTTGGTTTCTCTCTTTCATGTTAGAGGCTTTTCTTAAGTATCTCTAGGTTCATTCCTATTTAAAAGTAAAGCCTTATAAACTGACTGGGAGCTCTGTGACTAGCTGGCACTCAGCAAGGGGTAGGTTTCGCTGTGGGGTGATCAACTGTAAGGCCAATGTCTCATTGAAGTACCCTCTGTCTGCAGAGAAAAGTCTAAAAAAAAGATTTTGAGAAGTCAGTATTCATAGGTCTCTGAGGAGGAGAGGAAGGGACAATTCTGTTTCTCCAAAGAAAACCCTTCCCGTCTCCTGCTTGGAGGGACTGAGCCAGGCCAGCGCTGCTGGAGCCGAGTCTGTGTCCTCGTCCCTCGCTCTGCAGACTCCATGTCCTCGCTCTGATTCTAGTGCCCCACTTTTCTCCCTTCCCCTCTGCCCAGGGTCCCAGGCTCTGGAGCCTTTCTGGGTAAGTCTGTCTGTAGACTGAATCTCTGCCCTCCTCTTTGGTGAGATGGGGGGTGTTTCCTGGTCTCCCAGCACAGGTGAGAGGACCTGGGCTAGAGCAGGTCTCTCTGCAGACTCTGAGCCAGTCCCCAGCCACCCTTCCTCACCTGCTACCTTCTCCCGCACCTGGTGCAAACCAGCTGCTTCTTGTTGCTCCTCTGCGGCATTTGGCGTTCGGCTCTGTTAGCTCTTCTCAAGCGTTATCTCCTTTCCTTCTTCCAAAAATGTATTAGCATTTCTGTCTTATTATAACTATGCTCTCATTTTAGAGATGTTTTAAGAAGGATTTATGTTCAATCTATCACACTTTAATAATTTACTTATTTATATTTTTATTAGTCGTAAATATGTAGATGCACACACACATAACGTATATAGTAAATATGAACATACTCAAGTGACCCAAAAGATGAACAGTGAGAAATAATCTCTTTCACCTTGTCTTTCAGAAATACCCACAGTTACCAGTTGCTTGTAGTCCTTCCAAAGGAAGGTTATACACACATTTACATACACACACACAGAAGCATATAAGCAGATAAGTAGTAATCCTTTTTATTTTAAATAAAAGAGGCAATTTATTTGCATATCACTGAACAATATGTATATTTTGAGCAAAGACCAGTGCTTAATCCAAAGACACGAATATCTTTTAGTCAGAGTTCATGTTCCATTGCAGGTGTTTGATATCTTCAAGGGGTCTTCCAAGTGTCCCTTCAAATAACCCGTGTAGTTGGCCCCCTGCACAAAGGCCAGCTGTGGATGTGATGAGGGGCGCACACATGGGACAGTTGTGGGTGGCAACTTCCACATCTCATGTGGCTTCTTTTTCATTCCTGCCTTCTCTCTCCTGTTTTATCCACCGTGTTTCTTCCTGTTTTCCCCCTCCCTGCCCTGCAAGTGCATTTTGCTGGCTCGTGGCTCCCGTAGCTGGCCCATGGAGCTGAGGAGGGGATCCATCCTGGTGAAGGGGCAGCCTTCACCTGGCCACCTCTTTGGCACTCTGGGTGGGTATGCCCTCAGCCTGCCCCTGGCTCACTAGACTTTAGCAAGGACAGAGCCCAGAGGCATCCCTGCATATTTCAGGGTTCAGGTCTAGCTTGAGGCGGGCCACTCAGCAGTCTACAGCAGTGATATTAGCCTGACTCTTCGTCCCTGTGACAGGGCCTGCTGCTGCCAAACCAGACTTGATCTCAAAACTGGAACGGAGAGCTGCACCCTGGATCAAGGACCCAAATGGGCCAAAGTGGGGGAAAGGTCATCCTTCAGGTGAGTCTCAAACTACTGAGTTTTGAAGGGCACATGGAGGGGCCCGTGTAGCTGTGGAGAGTCTCATGATGTTAGCTCAGCCATGCCTCTCCTGGGCCTATCGTGCACCAGGCCCTGGGTGGACAGAGATGAATGAGAAACTAACCCTGCCCTCAGAGTGTAGAATAGTCTGCGAAACTGGGATAGTACGGAACAAATAAGGTCCTTTGATGAGCAGGAGTGCCGAAGGGAGTTGCGGCAGAGCCTATGGGAGGAAGTACACAGAGGACACTGGACATGAGAAGCCAGGTGACCTGTAGGCCTGTGGGCTCCCCTCCCTCCACACCTCCTTGGGTGTTCAGTGACAGCACTGTTGGTCTATGAGAATTACTTGTTTTGCATATCTCATCTTTTTGGCCAGTAGCTGCTGTGTATACTTCTGTACCTTCTTTCCTGAGGGTCATAAGAAGACTTACAATGTTTAACCTCATTGCTTGGTGGAGCCTTACAAGAGGATTAAAGCCACCTGTTTATCCAGTAGTGTCTGTGGCTCAGGGTGGTTCATTAAGCATCTGGTGTCAGTGATCCCAGGGTAGCTGTGTGGACAGAGAGGGAGAAGCTGGCATAAGGATCCACAAGGATTAGCAACCTGGAGAGCAGGGTTGACTTTCATAGGTAATAATGGGAAGGGCTTTAACTAGAAGCCACTAATGAGCTCCAGGAAGATGGATCACATCCATCTTCTCTGCTGGCTTTAACTAGAAGCCACTAATGAGCTCCAGGAAGATGGATCACATCCATCTTCTCTGCTTTGCATCAGGATACTCAGTGAATTTGGGAGTATCGTAGCTGATAGAAGCCTGCAGGGTTCTGGACAGCAAAACCAAGGGCAATTTAATTTTCTCCACAGGGAAAATGAAAATGGTGGAAGTAAGAGAGGGAGACACACAAGCCTCGGCTGTAGAATCTGCGTTACTTCCACCTCCTTCTGTGGAGACATGTACTGCCTACTGCCATTCCAGCATTTGTGAAATAGAAGTAGATGGACCTAGGAAACTCAAGAGGACGTACAGACCCCGTTCAATTCAGAGGTCATGGTTTGGGCAGTTCCCATGGTTAGTTATTGACCCAAAAGAGACCAAGCTCTTCTGCTCAGCTTGTAAGGAAAGACCTAATCTCCACGACAAATCATCTCGGTTAGTCAGAGGTTATACTGGACCTTTTAAAGTGGAGACTTTAAAATACCACGAAGTCAGCAAAGCACATAAGCTCTGTGTCAACACTGTTGAAATCAAGGAAGACACCCCTCAGACTGCCCTTGTCCCAGAGATCTCCAGCGACCTCATGGCAAACATGGAACACTTTTTCAATGCTGCCTACTCCATTGCGTACCACTCGAGGCCCCTGAATGACTTTGAGAAGATCCTGCAACTCCTCCAGAGCACTGGGACCATGATTTTAGGTAAGTACCGAAATCGCACGGCATGCACGCAGTTCATCAAATACATCTCTGAGACTCTGAAGAAAGAGATCCTTGACGATATCCGGAAATCCCCCTGCATGAGTGTGTTGTTGGACAGCTCCACGGACACCACCGAACAGTCCTGTGTGGGGATTTACATCCGCTACTTAAAGAAGATGGAGGTGAAAGAGTCCTATATCACTCTGGCCCCTCTCTACAGTGAGACTGTGGATGGATACTTTGAGACCATCAT